CCCCCAAACAAGGATGGCAGTGCAAGACTGCTGTCCTTTTGACTAGGCCAATGTTTGGTAACATTTGGGGCATCTTTGCTCTTTACAACGATAGTAGAAATGTGAAGATTTGCCAATTTGAACGGGGAAGACGGAACCGGCTTTTGGACGACCGGCCATTTGAACTTGGAGCTGGTGGTTTGCCATGGAATCTGGGCAAAGTTTGTTCTGGTGGGGGGAGAGACCTTCTTTGTGAACATACCGTGTACCCTTTTAAGGTTGGCTTGAAGGGAGACCAAAAGGAAATGCTCAATTTCGGGGGTCCGCCTATGTTGACACAAGCGCGAATGGCAGTCCCTCGCCGAGATTTTTGCGTCGAGGTGGCAGGCGAGTCGCCCAGACATGAGCTGCGCCGCCGGGGGGCCCAGGAGACAAAGCTCCAGCTCCCACCATCGTGTGAGGGTCAAAACACCCATTTGCTTGGGGTTGCGCGTCGATTACTTCAAGGTCTACCTAGTAAGGAAGCCATGATAAACAGCCAACATAAGAAGCTTTGACCCAGCCACGTATGATGGGCAGGGTTCCACTGGTTTTGACCAAATCATTTCCTGGGTTCAAGTCTACCTTCCGGAAATTCGCTTGAAACCAAGTTGCAGTTCATTTCCACATGTGAGTCACTGACAACATTATTGGTAGTCTACTGTTGGTTTGGGGACTTACAGGCAACGTACAAACTTGTCCAGCTACTCAAGGGGATGGGTTTTGTAGCGTGGACCGGCTGAAATCAATCAAAGTGTTCTGCAACAAACAGGGCCACGTTGCTGATCCATGATTCCCTCTCACGATCTCTATCCAGAAAAGAACGGATTGACTGGAGCTTTCTCGCTCTCTCTCTCTCTATCTCTCTCCCTCTCTCTCTCTCTCTCTCTCTCTCTCTCTCTCTCTCTCTCTCTCTCTCTCTCTCTCTCCCCCTCTCGCTCTCTTTCTCTCGCTCTCTCTCTCTCTCTCTCTCTCTCTTTTTCGCTATCTCCCTCTCTCTCTCTCTTGATAAATCCAGAGTGTGCAAGCTGCAGTATGCAGTTTCAGGTGTTTACTGTACAAGTTCATATTTGTAAAGGAGTGTGGGAAAAGTGACCAGCAGAGACCAATGATATCATAGATACCTCGGCTTGGCGAGGGGGTTCAACAACCACCACCATTTGCGGTTTATTTCTAGGATGCCCTGTCTCAAGATGGTGAACCTTTCAATCCCAAAAACATAGGCAACTCGACGTATCCGCTCAAAACAACCTGCTGCTTTGGATAAAAGCCGGTAAGCAATTTCAGCGGCGAATTGGAAGTTCAAAGCCACGGGTTGTGTATAAGCTAAACTTTTGAATGGATAGTGATATATTTAGAAACTTGTTCCTCAAACGGACCAACATCGACCAAGATCACCCGCCCACAGCCTGCACCTTACCAAGCCCGAGCCCTGCACAAGCCAAGGGGCCAAGCCTAACCAACCCTGGCCAACCTGAACCAAGCCCAATCCGGAACTGTAATCACCAAATCCATGGTTTGCAGCCATGGGCTCGGAGGGTGTGTTTACTGTACACCATAGGGACTTAAGTTACTCTCACTTACAGCCAGTTTCTGGACTCAATACACACTTTGGGAAGACCATGGTGCTAGATAAGGAGTTGGACTGTTTTGGCCATCCGCCACTGATACAGCCAATCTTAGTAGAAAGCAGCAAGTTGGGACTGCAAGAAAAACATTCTTGGGACTCGGGAGGTGTCCTGCAAGTCAGGAATAGGAGATGGGTCGAGACGGATCCGAATCGCCCATGGGATCTTTTGCACATCTGATCTACCTAACAAAATAATCTGGACGGACCGCACGGGGGAATGGGAATGTCTTACTGGAGTCAACCCTTCCCATTCCGATAAAAGATATCAAAAGCCGACCTTATCACTTTTGGTGTCCTAGCTTTGGCAACCATTTTCAGAGGTCCGGCAAGAGCCTTTCACTTCCAGGTCCTTTGGCAAATGAGCAAACAGTTAACTACTTTCCAAAGTGGACAATCTGGGACGTCCCCTGAAGTAGACCTTTAAAACCCGATCGGCTTCCATGATGGGAGGTTAGGGCTGACCAAGCCTTATTGCGGAGGATAAGGCGTCAACCTGCCAATGTATGGCGAGCTCACCTGGGAGTAAAACGAGCTCACCATGATGTAGTTGTTTTGTTCGTGGATCCCTTCTCCAGGGAGTTATAGTGAATTGCGGTTGTCTGCAGGGTCGCTGAAAACGTGGGTTCCGTCCACAAATCCTTGACCGCATTTGACCGCCCCAGGCGAGAGGCCCGCAAGGCGGGCTGGGGGCCTGTCGGCTTGTTGAAGCAGACGCGGGCTTGGCGAAATCGGGCTTCCCTTTGGCTTGCTGGAAGCCGACATAATGGAGCTGTGGGCAACAGTTGCCCAAATGTGTGCAGCGTGGTTTCCTCGGTTTGCTTTTGGTGTTGGCTTCCATGCACCCTTCAATCGTGATTTTTGAGACAATCTTGGGTTGGTACTAGTAGAATTATTTTGTAAAGCATGTCTCTGAGCCACAAATGGCAGTTGCTCACTTCCACAAGAGGAGCACAGATCAATCCGAATTTGAGGTTAGGTCATGCCATACCTGATTTTGGCTTGACCGACCACATGGACAAGTGACAGAGATCAATCCCTACAATATGGAGGAAACAGCGTTGGGCACGGTCCCCATCTCTTCCCGTGAAAAAGTATCTCTGTGTGTAGGGTACTTATCACAAAAGGTGGTGGTGCGCTACGATGGACCTCTGAAAACGGTATCATGGATTTGCCTTAGTGCCTTCGCATAAAACCCAATGACTTACTTCCCCAGATTCTGGACTTTACACTCTTTGGGATGAGCGATTGGGTGTAAAGAGCAAGTCTGAACTCAAGTCTAGGCTGTTTCTGACCAATCCACCCGAAAAAATGTTGCGCCGCATTGAACAGCGCAACAGTTTGGTTTGTTCAGAATAATATGATGAACAGCTTGTTTCTTGAATGAATCCTTAATCGTTATGCCAGATGGTAGTGGTTTCCCTTGTTGAATCCATCTCCGGATTAGGATCCCATGGATACCCCCATTTTGAAAAGCCCGGTTCAGTGCTGGGTTTCGGCGAGTCAGGTGGCATGTTGTCAGATCCCATGATCGCTTCCCCCCAGGCTTGTGCGCTGGGAACCCAAAGAAAAAATGTGTAGAGGGTTGTTTGTTTCGATGGTACGTTGGACACCATTTGAACAAATCGTCCAAACACGTTGCCACAGGCCCCAATCCCTGGACAAAGAGAGCCTTGTTGAAGCTTAGCATTGGAAAACCCTAAAATTGCTAGCTCCATTGGGTTATAAAGAAAACACAACCAGTTGGGTGGACATTCCCTACAGTTGGAAGTATGTTTCCTTTTTCCACCTCTAGTGGTGGGAACTTGGCAGAAAGGGAGCCCACTCAACGCTTGGCAATATCGGAAGGAGCCGGCTTGACCCTGCTTGAAGATGCTTGAATAACTGGTTTCCCTTTAAAAGGGGGACCCAAGGCTGGCTGTTGAAACAACTGCTCAACCTGGTTGTCAAGATTAGGATAGTAGGGAACCCTGAACCCCCCACCCCACCCCCCCGGACGCTTCGCTTAGAACCCCTTCTAAGCAGGTCGTTGGTTTCCTTCCTAGATTGGCAATGGAAAGGTGTTGCGCCAGGATTTTACGTTTGGTTTCCCTCCAGAGCAACCAACAAAGGTGTTCCTAAAAAACACCACACACACACACACCCCAGGATCCAGGATCCACGCGTGCCCGTATCAATGAAGGATACCGGCTACCTTAACAGAAAACCATCCATATTGGAAACCCGCCAGGATTCAGGTGCCTTTTGCAGTCGCCGTGATGGCGGTGATCAGCAGCTCAGCCCGGATCCTGAGAGGCTTCTTTTGTCTCCTTTTGTAGTGTGCGGTCCAACCTTCCAGTGAACAGAGCGTCAGAGAGCATTCAGTCAACAATGATGATCCAAAGGAGTTTTGAGCATTGGTCGACTTTTATTGATTGTTCTATGGCTCATTTGGGACGCGAAGGGGGCAACTCCCAAATTTTCAAGCACAACAGTCACAGCAACCAGAGTGGCGAACTCAAATTGTCCACGTCCTGTCCTTTTGGGGACACAAGTAAGTTTGATCGTGGCTTATGATAGGATATATTTGGCGTGTTCGTGTGCTGGCGGGTTGACCTTTTGACTTGGAAGCCATCCCTAAGTGGTAGAACTGGTACAGACCCTATTGATGTTTTGGTGTTACGTATTTTTCTTCAGTTCTGTCCCCTAGTTGTTTTTTCTCTCTGGAAGCTTGAACACTGAGTTATGTTGTTAGGATCATAATAGGAGCAACAAATTAGCAATCGTGAGTAGTTGTTTTGCCGCCTGCTGTTGAAACCCTTTTGAAGTGTTGTTTGACTGTTTGCTTTTCATTTTACTTTTGAACTTGACTCGCAGGTTTACCTTTGGACCGGCTTCTCAAGCAAAGTAATGCCCCTCCCCCCAATCACTTTTTTTGGCGTGCCCCATTGCCTGGAGCATCGCCGTTGCGTGTAACAGGCACTGACTGATGGCAGCTCAAAGACTAAAGACGGAGGCCTTTTGGATGAAAAGCAAGACCAGAGCAAATGTGCTGCTTGGACGCCCGCTTTAAGGTAGGTCCTTGTTATCAACAGGCCGGGTCCAAACTCCTGAATTTGGGCTGGTCATGGTCAAGCCAGAAGTTTAAGCCATCAAAGCCTTGCCAGGGACAGCGTACTCAATACTAGGATCCTCTTGAACCGCAAAGACCTCAAACGATGCGGTCATGGGTCCCCGGGATTGTCGCCCACTAAACTGACCCTTCACCGTTTTACGTTAGTCTTTTGGCGAACGCACTAGCAAATGATGCGACACTGTTTGGCAGTTAGCTTGACCAGGCCAGTGCACGGCCCAGGTGTTTCTCTCTTGCGCCGCCATGTTTTTACCGCTGCCCGGCAGAATGGGATCTTGGCGCGCGTGGGGATCGGCATGTGGGGTATCCAGCTCAAACAAAGAAGAGGCAATGTATCAATAATGGGTGTTCCCGAAAAGGAGACTAAAGCAATTGCAGACATGCCAAGTTGCTGCCTTTTCGCAGACGCCATTCTAAAAGGAGTCACGGTAGCTGAGAAAAAGCAGCAACTGGCGATCCAGCTGGCTGTGTTTGTTGCTTTGATTCACAACTCCTGCGGACCACCCATTTTGGCACGTAGCATCTTACATTTGCAGAATTTGGAAGGGGTCAGGTTTTGTGGCGTTCGCTCTGACCAAACTCTTTGTTTGTTGCGTGGTCGCCCTGTTTGGGTTGTTTAAAGGGAAATCAAGTGGAAAGGAGGACTCTTGTTGTGGGGGTCTTTTTCGGGGTTGGCTGTATCCTTGTTTGGGGGAACTTCTTTTCAAGGTTGCTGAAGGATACATGTTGGCCATGTTGTATATCACATTTACCAGCTGGCTTGGAGGATCTCCTACTGACGTATCATTTAAGGAAGCCTTCCTTGGTTGCAAAGGGCCCCAGGACTCCTACAACAAGAAGACCTAACCCGGTTGTAAATGGCTTATAACCCAGGTTAATTACTAAGCACTGGGCCGAACACACAAGTTATTACAAGTTCCTTTGGCTACCCGAAAGGCGATTGCCTTCCTGTTTGAATGGTCTTTTGGCTAGCGCTTGGTTTCCGTATGCGTCGCTTGTCGTTTGGGTAGGGAACTGGTGTCTTTTGTTTCAGTCAATCACTGGGGCCGGGCCAGTTTGAGGGGAATTTCAAGTAATTATAGCGAACTGCTGCAGGTTAGAATATGACATTGATATTTCGGAAATATATCTTCACAGTTGGAACATATTGGTGCTAACTAGTACCCAGTGACCAGGATGTGTTCCTTGATATGTTGCTGCCACAGATTCCAAGTGTGACATATTCCAAGTGGGTGAGGATGAAAATAACTCTTCCAACCTGCAGCAATTAGTTTTTGGGTGAACTTTGAGGGAGACCCGAGAGAGGGATCTGCCAGGATTCTGGGATCTCAAGTCGACGACAGGAATGCGCCCCTGTTGCAATCAAGACCGATGTGGTCTGGCCCAGCAAGGGCAAGGCTCCCAGGCCGCTCATCTGGCGGGAAGTTGCTGGACAGCTGGCTGCTGTGCCCGTTCAGTGCTTCGACGATGGCATTGTTCAGCATTTCAAGAAGAATACAGTCAAACACGCTCCTAAGGATGTGGCCATGCAGGAAGTCAGTGAGACTCTTCGCTTCCAGCGATGTTGTCGAAGGGGATGGCAAAGCCTGGGGTGCTTGCTGCGCGAAGTTCAGGGAGGACACCGAGAACAAGTCGTTCGAACAAAACATAAGGTTCTTGGGTGACGAGAAGGTTGGGAGCCCTCGGACAAACCCACCTCGACTCCAGTAATGTCCGCCTCTGATTAATAAATAGGGCCCCCCCCCGAATGACCCTAAATGAAGTTAAGGGGACAAAAATCAGGGTCGGGAAAATTTAGATTGCGTTTAGTATTGGGCTCTGTTTTGTTGTTTTCGAATACTACTGTTGAATTGGGCCAATTCTAAAGTAGTATTGGGCATGTTGTTTTTTTCTTAGTTTGCTTTGGGGGAATACTAGTTTAGAATTGGGCCAGTTCTAAAGTAGTATTGGGCCAGGAACTTTTGCATCAGTGGGAATCAGCTTAGCTTTATTTAGGGTCAGGAATTATTTAGTGCATGAGGCTTCATGGGGGTTGCCTTGCTGAGGGCCAAGTTGTGTTTTTGAGGGTTTTCACATAAACAGAACTTGATGAAGGGAATCACTCAATAATTTTGGGGTCTGATGGAATTGGAATCAAGATTTATGATGAGCCAGCTTGAATGGAAAGCTTGCCTGCAAAAAAATAAAGGATCAGAGCATATTTTTTTGGGGGGGGGGAACCCGTTTAGCTTTACTTAGGGGTAGTTTATTTTTTGGTTTTGGAAAACGGTTAGCTTTATTTAGGGGTAGTTTACTAATCGTAGGCGGACAGTAAGTTAAAGCGAAGGAACTTAGCTTTCGATCTCGCGGGTTGGGAATATCAAGGGGGCTCAGCTTCAGGCAATGCACACCCAAGCGACCAGCCACGATCCATGTCTTCAAAGCAGCACACTAGGCCGTTCAAACGGAGGCAGGACCAAGCCTAGCCGTCCGGGGAAATAGCCACAAATTGACCCCTTGGCAATCCACGAGAAGAATGGTTCCGAGTGCACTTGAAAGGTAAACTAACCTTTTGTTGAAATCTCCCGAGCACCCACCAATTGAGGATGGTATTGCAGCCTCTCAGAGTCCATCGGGGTTGAGTTGAGACAAAGACACATCCTATCGTGCAGTTCAGTTGCGAGTCAGATCCACAGCTTGATGTGCCTGCCGTTTTCCTTTTTTCTTAGCTCGGCTGGATGCAAGCCAAGTGTTCAGCTACCCAAATGTGTGGCAGGCGTTTTCTTCTTGTCTTGGTCGAGAGGTACGAGGACTCACGACAATTTTTGCGGTTTGGCTAGGTGCGCCTCTTTCGTGAAAGAACCAGGGGAACCAACAGGAAGGCGGCATTTCGGACATACCAACACTATAAAGTTCAACTTAGGGAGCCTTCTCGATGGCTGGCGTATACATGAATCCCTAAATGTTGTCCACCAAAGGTTCCGCAATCAAATCTTGGGCCACCTGTTCAGTTGGCAAACAAATCAAGCTTGTGGTTGACCGTTTTTGCCTTCGACCAAAAATGCGCGATCTTTTCCGGCCTTTCATCCAAGCCCTTCAGCTTTGTGGGATTTCGTCCATGAGCTTCGCTTGCCCGGTGCGCACCCAACGAGGTTGGAACTTTTCACACAGCTGGAGCCTCAGATCCGCCACGTTTCTCAAAGCGGTCCTCTCGAGCCCATCAAAGCAGAGTAAGGGGTGTTATTTTTAATTTAAGCATGAAGCTACATTGACGGGGTATCCATTTATTTACAATTTATGTTCACCCATCATACCCATCCTTCTTTATCGACCACCCATGTTCCCAGTGTTTTGCTCAATTTTTGAAGAGAAGGTTCCCTGAACAGAATGCAAGGATATGGCTAGGTATTGACCTGGCACTTTGTTTTGGTTTTGCTCAGCCTCCATTGGCTTGTTCTGCTGTTGGCCTCACCTCAATGGAATGGGTCTTGGTGCTCGATGGGCAACCGTATCTGAACTTCCCCAAGTCGGAATTCATAAGATTTCCCGATGGAAGCCCATGGTTTCCCCCAAGAAGCCCAAAGCGGGTTCCCTCAAATGGAAATCAAAGGGGGATAGATAACTGCGCATGTCGCCCCCCCCACCTGCTTGCGGCTCCTTCGGAACCTTTCCTAGGGATGGGGCCTTGGGGATGCAAGCCCCGGCGCAGCCGCAACCATCTTTCGTGTTTTTGTTTGCCTCTGTTAGGGGGTTCAGGGACCCAGTCCCCCGAAGCATGGCTCACCTTTTTACGATTGGGGTCCTGGGGAGGGGTGTTTGGGGGTTGTTGGGTTGGGGGGGGGGGGGGCAACCAGCCACTCAGCGGGCGGTTGTCCTTTCACTACCCCTTTCAAAGTGGGGGGGTCGCAACAAATCCCGACCTCCCTTGACCTGAAATCTATGAGAGCCGGATTGGCGTTTTGGGCCTGAAGGGAAACAAACGAACCCACCTTAATGCAATGGATCTCGCCTGTTGCTCCTAGGTCAATTCGCTCGCATGCCTTGGCATCCTGCAAAAGCTGGGGGTCTCAGCGGATGGTGAGACCGAAGGGTAGAGAGGTGTAACTAGGTCTCGCTTCTTGGGGCTTGTCTTTGCCAGTTGGTTGCCAATTTGAGGTAAGTTTGTGGTTCTGGCTGCCAATTCGAAGCGAAGATCTTTGGCAAGGCAATGATTGGGAGCCTTTTGCGCCCTGGCCCCACAGCAAGGTTCTCAGAACCCGTGACTGTAATCAGAGAAACCCGCTGAAATGGCTCCTTTCTATCCAATGAATGCGGAACCACCTCTGGTTATCTGAAGAAGCTTATTCAATTCCTCTAAATCTGACATTGACCCCGACCCCAACCACACCTTTTCACAAAGGTGAGTGAGTCTGAATTCACATTGTATCCGTGATCCAGCTCCGGCTTCCAGTTCGGGTCATCAAACGGGATAGACTCACTGTCTCGGAGTTGAGTGCAAGTCGGACGGCATTGTGCATCATAGCGTCGAGCCTGGCCCTGTTCAGCCAAACTAGATGTTATTTGCGAGTCCCCCCAGGGCAGGGATCCGTCTGATCTGGCGCTTGGCCGAATTAGCAAGCGATTGGTGCCTAGCTTATAACCCACTTGCAGCAGGCTTACCTTCTTCGGCGGGACTGAGTGCGAGACTTAGCACGCCTGCTTCTCCTTTGCATTTTTCGATGTTCCTTTGCTTCCCCTTCCAGCAAGCAAAAAGTCAAGTTGTTTTGCTGAGGGTCAAAGTCCCAAACAAGTGGTTTTAACATACGAAATCAAGGTGGTTAGCTCAACCCTACGCAGCACACCTTTCAACAGACATTCTTGTCTATGACCCTACTTACCCACAACTAACATACCACACCAATAAGCCATACATAAGGATGTTGTTTAGCATATTTGCACCCTGGCCCCCGGAAGAAAGATACCCGAAGTAGCACCTCAGACCACGTCTCATCTCGGTCGATCAACCGCCTTCGGGCCAGGCGCTCTGCAAATGCAAGCAAGCCTCATCGAAGAGCGCGGACCTGAGTTTCGGCATCCAGAACGGGTCAGCGCTTGGCAACATTTGACATATTTGCCCTTTGCTTAAAACAAGGAATACACGCAAAACGACGGTAAAATACATATACACATGTATATTATATCTTCAGGTTTTGACCCGGCAGCATCGTAATACAAACGGCTAAATGACTACACACACACACACAAACCATTGTCCTATGATCATCTTCCATTTGGTTAAGAATATTGTTGATTTTCCCCTGTTGGTTTTTAAAGGGAATCTATCACTGCTGGAAATATGTTTTCTCTTTTTTTTCCTAGGGAACTTAAGCAAATGGAGGTCATGAAGCCATGTTGTTCGTGAATGCCTCACACTTTCATTCGAATGTTTGTTGATGTATGTTGGCCCATATAGTACATGTTTGCCCTTTACAATTCAAACACGATGCTAGACAGTTGAAACTTCTAGGTTTAGGATCTGTTTAGGTTCATTGACCAAGTAGAACTGGGTGGAACAAACTGTTTGACTGAAGTAGTCTTGCCAAAGGGTAGTTTAGTATTGAGCTGGTAGGATTGAGAGTTGCACAAGTCTTATGAGAAGGAGGACTCTGAGAGTATGTGTCAAGATAGCGGGTGCAAAAAAAGGCGGGTTGTCCTTCCAAGTGAACATTCCAAGTGAGTGACATCGTTCATGGCGGCAATGTTCAAGGCACTATCCACAATGATTACAGTTTACTCCAAGTGAAGCTGACCAAGTCAGACACCGTGTTTCTGATTTCTGTTAAAATGACCTCTAAAATCTGGATACATCATCTCATGCTGGGGTGCAGAGCAGCCTTCGGGTATCTTCAGCCAGTTTCGGAGCTCGTGGCAAGGGTTTGGGCCATTGGCAAAACCCGGGTGAAGAGATCCACGAGGATCATGGCTGAAGTGTGGACGCAGTGAGAGACCTGAATTTGTCGTCAGAGAGCCAAACCTAGGAAGGTTTTGTATGGCTCTGTGTGTTTTTTGTGTTAGGATTTGTTTTAGGATGCCAGACTGAACCTTTTGATTTGCAGAGCCCAGCAAAATTTGGCACAGTTGGACCTCACGCAACATTTAAGTTATTGGCATTTGGGCGATGCCCCTTGACTGTCGCGCTGAGGATAATCGACGGAAGTGTTTCCGAGGCCGCGGCAGTGTTTCTCACGGAGCTGGCTGCTTGAGAATACGTCACCCCACGAAACCCAAGTCTCTCACTTATGGCATGTTTAGGTGGTTCTTTGCTTGTTTGGATCTGTTCATGTCTAATGGCAACTGAACAAAATGACGGTATGTGCCTGTTTTCTACCAAGGGTTGGGAAGGACTTCATGAATACGGTTTCCGCTTTCAATCCACTGCTCGCCAACCAAGTGATGTCCTTCACCACTGTCACCACCATAGCAGGTAGGCAGCAGGATGCAAGTAAAGCCTTTAGCAACCAAAAGGAAAATGGCTGGTTGCATACTATACTGTGAAGAATAGCCGTACTGCAATGTAGTGACTATGCCGTGCGTGTATACCCCGTTTCCTTCAAGGGTGGCGGGGTGCAAACTCGCACAAAGAGCCCAAAAGGGGAGTTTGTTCAACCCCAAAGAAGATGCAGTTCCCCTAACACCTGGGCAAGTTACAGCGACCTCACAAGGGGGGTTTGCAGCCTTGCTGCCGAAGGTTCCTTGGGGTTCCTTGTTTACACTTGGAATAGAGAAATTTGCACAGCTCCATGGAATATGTCTTTTAGGTCTTCTGGCCTTGTACCCTGTGCGCGAGCCCTGGGGTGCCAGCCACGGGGTTGGGGGTAGCCAGGCCCTGCCGACATCAAAAGGAAGCCAATGGGAAACCAACTGTTATCTTCGGTTGTTTCCTATTTAGTGGCATTTTGCAAGTGCTCTAAGCTCTAAATGACTCTCTTGCTGGTTCTCAGTAGGCAGCCTAGGGATCAGCTCAGGGTCATTCCAGCTCCTTCCCCGTTTGTCGAACTAGCAAGTTGCTGGTGGAAATGGACACGAGAATGCGTCCCTCGCCGCGCTCGCGCAGGTCTCAGTGTCCAAAGTTCTGAATTCGGTGGCACAGACCGTTAAATACACACTGCGCCTTCCAGCCGACCGAGCTGTCGACTCTGTGCCCTTGGGGTGTTGGGGGCTGCGGGCCGCTTGCGATGTGACGGAAGTGTTGTTCCCAGTGATTCTATTCCCCACGTTGCAGGCAAGCTGCCTTCCAAGACCAGAAGGAAAATGATTGCCTACTATGATTTTTCCATGCTTGTTAAGAGTCCCCGCTAGAAGGATATCCCGCAAAAAGGGTTCGAAATGGGACCCAATTGGACCCCATCGTCGGCCCTTTTGTCTTTGGCGCCACCAATATCGGGAACCGGAGGATGAGCGAATCGGTCCAGTCTCTGCCAGTCCAATGACAATTCAAACCCCTTGTATTTGGTGGGTTCTGAACCACTAGAATCAACCCAAACAGGGTCCTTTTTGTCTTCCGGCGTCACCGGGCGTCTCGGACACGAGGGCGTGTGTTTTGGGCTGAGTTCTGAGGTTTGCAGGGTTTGCGCTCGCCGCGGTGCGTGGGGGCAGTTTGATTGCTGGCGGGTATATAGCTGAAGCCGTCGCCGTGTTGGGATTTGAGTTCTTCGAAGGATGGCACGCGCAGTGATTGCATGGGTCTGCATTGATTTGGGTGGCGAACCAGGTAGCAAAGGGTCCTACACCTGGAAAGGGTCGCTTGGGGATGTGGGGACCCCTTCTTGCATAATGATTACCCCACCAATATTGTCCTTTCAAAAGGAAACGTTAGTTCCAGGAGATTCCCATACAGGCTTCATGCTAAGGAGAGACACTGGCCCCCCCACCCACCCTCCGAGCTTTAGAAGGTTCCCCGAACGTTTTCTGAGGGGGATTCCAGATGTAGAGAGCAACTCATGCTTTTGGAACACCATGATTTGGCCACTTTCCGTCATACCAAAGGGATGCTATTTGAACGATGAAGCAAACATGATGACGACCCACTGTGGTATCACAAAAAGGGTTATTTTCCGGAACCACAGAGAAAAGGGCATAGGGAGGACATGGGCGAGCCCATACAAATTTCCCGCAAATGCCTGCAACCCCACCCAACTTCACCCACGTCACGGAGGAAGCATTTGCAATGTGTCCGAGTCATTGGGGTGTCCCCGACGCTTCTGATCATGCAGGTATGGGGCGAGATGATGACCAGGCGGAAGTTTGACCAGTCGTGGAACATGAGCAGTGCCTCGGCGCTTCGATTCGATGTGTTCCTGGAGATGTGGTAGGGGTCATCTCAACCCCCCCGCCTCCACCGACGTGACTGATCACACGTTTGGGTTTGTCGCATTCTTTGCGTGAAATTCCAAAATGGAAGGCTTCCGTTTGGTGTCCTGCCCTCGGTTTGTGTTGCCTTCGACCCGCACCAAGGTGCCGACGTCCGCCGCGAGGCGAGGTTTCCGAGTGATGGGGTTGGGCGGTCAACCATACGTGCCATTGAATCCTTTAGCAGGGAGTTTTGACAACCATTAAACTACCCGTAAAAAGGTTTCCCCCAAAGATGGCTCCACACTGAAATAGAGGTTGAACCCTGCGCACGCGGTGTTGGGCAGTTCCCTGTGGCTGGAACCCCTTTGTAGGGAGGCATCACCTCAGCCATGTCGTGGCCCGAAACTGGGTTGCACAGAACAAAGCACGTTGTCAAATTCTATTTCACATTCAGTCTTGGATGAACCCCCCAGACTGGTAGCCAAAAGGGGTATAACTTTCCAGGACATGGGAGGCACCCGGGGTACTCCTCAGGGACATTTGCGATATTAGCCGTTAGAATCAAAAGATCCATTTCATTAAAATAGTACCCCTCCAAACGTGCGGGTTGTTTGGTTGGCTTGGGCATACAGGACTCCAATTGGGCGGTATTTCTTGCTTGCAAGTGCAGAGGTGCGACCTCAACTGGGTTGTCTTTTGACGTGAACCCATATTTTAAGCTTCACTCGGAAGAACATCATGTTTGGTTGGGGGCAAAAGCTGAGGTACTTCAGGGAACGACTCTGGAACCCTTGATGGAAGAAAACCGGCGGGAAACGGCTGGCATCTTCGAAATTGATTCTTAGTCCTTGTGCCCTTTGGAAGCTTCGTGTCGCGCTGGACGAATCTGGTCATGGAGGAAACTCGTTTTGAATCCAGAAATCCTCCCACCCCGAGTTGACGCGCAGGTGGCTGCCAGGGCCTGGGCTGAGCTCTCAAGTAGTCAGACAGGCGGCGGCGGGGGTTGCTGGGGTGAGACCCCGCAAGGAGGGGCTCGTTGAAAAGACATGGGGTTCTTAGAGCGGTTAATATGGTGAGAGGTTATCAAAAGTCACATTTGTGGGGATTTCTTGTTGTACCGCCTTGCGGATGTCACTTTAGTGGACCCAGCCAAGGGTGGCTTTTTTGGTGCTGAGAGGCCACATTGAGGTTGGAGGAGCAAGGTTTAGGAGGAAATAGAGGAAACCCACGCTATGAGGCCAAGCAAGGCCTTGTCGGGCCAAACAGGCAAACAGGGTTTAACAAGTGGCCCTTTTAGCGAGCGTTAATTGATCCATCTCACGTTCATACATTTCGAGTTCATCCAGATTGCACGTCCTAGACTGAAAGGTCGCTTGGTCAATGCTTGGCCCTAGATACAGGTTCAGTCAGATTCCAGCGCATTGTTTGGGAGGAATGCCTCGCTCTTCAAGTGGAGGCTGAGCAACTGTCAATCTGCAGAAAGGTGACCGAAGCGCAGTAGTGTGCAGGTGGGTTTGTTTGTTTGGTTGTTTGTCTGTCTGTTTGTGTGACTGTCTGTCTATTCGCTTGGGTGTTTGTGTGTGCGTGTGTGTGCGCGTGTGTGACTGTTTGTTTGTTTGTTTGTTTGTTTGTTTGTTTGCTTGCTTGCTTGCTTGCTTGTTTGTTTGTTTGTTTGTTTTTTTGTTTGTTTTGTTTTGTTCTGTTGTTTTTTTGTGTTTTGTTCTGTGTTTGTTTGGTTGTGTGTTTGTTTTGTTGTTTGTTTGTTTGTTTGTTTGTTTGTTTGTTCTTGTTTGTTGTTTGTTCGATTGAATGTTTCTTCTATTTGTTTGTGTTCTTAGGCTCTTAGGTCTGTTTTTGTGTGTTTGTTGTATGTATGTTCCTTTGTGCGTCCGTTCCTCTGTTTTGTTTTGTTTGCTTGTGTGATTGTTAGTTTGTTTGTTAGTTTGTTGTTTTTGGTTCGCTCGTTTGATTATTGTTTGTTTGTGTGTTTGTTTGATTGTTTGTTTGCTTGCTTGCTTGCTTGCTTGCTTGCTTGCGTTCTTGCTTGCTTGCTTGTTTGTTTGTTTGCTTGTTAATGTGTTTGTTTGTGTGTGTGGGCGTGTTTGTTTTTAGTATCGGCGCCTAAATCGCCCCCTGCGTTTTTTTTGTTGGTCAACAGCTTTCTGGAGTCCCTTTGTTCTCAGGTTTCAGGCTGGGGCAAGGCGCCGGCCCCTCACAGCGCCAGGCGCTTCTCGCCGATGCTGGAAAGCACATCCGCTCCACGGCATGCGCGCAGCAATGCTTTTCGTCACGCACATGGGAAGCGCATCCGCTTGGCTGCACATGATAAGCACATCCGCTCGACGGCATGCGCGCAGCAATGCTTTTCGTCACGCACATGGTAATAAGCGCATCCTATCTCCTGCGCATACGAGTGGCGGCGCACCAATCAGAAGCGCCCCGTGTTCGATCACCTCGGCGACTTGTTCGGAAAGGCATAGCCAATTTTGATATCTGCGTGACATCCGAAACATTACCTGCCCGGGAAGGAGTTTGACTTTGGCGATTTCGCATTAGCGAAATGCCAAAAAACAAAAAAACACACCGTTGTGAGGACACTCATGTTGACGAGTTGAGGCGCCAGTGTCCGTTTCGCTGAGGCGAACTCATCGTTACCAAAAACGACGGTTCAGACATGACTGCGAACAATTATGCAGGGGCGGTTCGGGCGCCGACACCTTGTTTGTGTTTGTGTGTTGTTGTCTTTTGTTGTGTGTGTTTTTTCTTGTTGTCTTGTTTCTTTTTTTGTTTATTGGTTTGTTTGTTTGTATGTTTTGTTGTTTGTTTGTTTGTTTGTTTGTTTGTTTGTTTGTTTGTTTGTTTGTTTGCTTGTGTGTTTGTTTCTTTTTGTTTGTTTGTTTGGTTGTATGTG